TCCATCCCATGTGATAGTAAAGTATACCTTACTGTGTGGGTACTACTAACTAACACAGAACCAGGACAAGGGGAACAAATAAGTTTATCAATACAATAAGTGTAACTAGCCAGTGTAGTATTACCAATCCTCATACTAATGCCATAATAACCATGTCCAATTTTAGTACAGATCAGTTTGTATTCCTGAGGATACACTGTCATATCAGAAGAAAGACCAGTAACAGTAAATGAGAGTATCTGTGCAAATCCTATGCAATAAAAATTATCAAGTAAGTTGACTCTATTTTGTCTTAGCTCTTACTGAATATATTAGCAAAGATGATGTTGGTGTTAGGATCTGAACAATTTGTTGGTAGACAGCACTTGTACCAACCATCACCAGGTGGCTGAAGATATACTTGGAAAGTAGCAGGTATGTGAACACTAAGACTAGCTCCTGATAACCCAACATTACAATTAAGATTTGAATTGCTCCCAGGACAAGGAACTGTTCCATTAGGACCAATCCATTGCCCATCATCCATAGTAGCACCAGGTAATCCACACTCTATAGGAGTTGGTTTGATGTTATTATCCCAAAAATATGACCCATTGGAGTAACAGTTTCCATCATACTTCAGATAAATGCCTATTCAACCTATTGAGGTGTTTTACTCATATTCAGTGTCTTACCTGAGGGAGGTGGACATTGACTAATAGCTTTATTCACACTTAACAAAAAGACAGTAGACAATAATAGCAATGAAACCATGTTCAGAGATAAACTGCTGAGTATACGTGTGGTCACTGTGGTACATTATGTTATTTTGTTTATTGTTTTCACTCGTAGAGTTATGATGAGCAAACTTTGACTATGATAATACTAATTTAGAAATTACATAAAATATGCTAACACAACATCCAAATTGTGTGAAACAACTCCAAAATTAACTATATAGCTAATGCTTAATATAATATTAAGCAGATGTGAGGAAGAGTTCAGTGTACACAAACTATGTATTCTCTATTTCAGGCAAACTAACAGATAGTATTACGCTGTTGTAGAAAATTCATTCTGGTAATGGATAATTCATAAATATCTTCAGGTGATGTTTGACATTCAAAATATATTCCTTCATTTTAATTTCATATTGGTTCACAAGCCGGCCTGCAGTTATCATCAGAATAAACTATCTTTTTTTGCTTGCTAATAGTATTTGGATGTTTCCTTCTAAAAAAATAAAATGTACTGGTAAACTGTACCTTATAAAGCCAATGTTATGAATAAGAACACTGACAGTTTGTAGAATGCACAATACACCAATTAACAGAGCAATAGCAATGTTGGAAGCAAATTGATGCATGATTGTGGCAGTTTTAGGGTCCATTAACAATAATAGCCCATTTTCCCTATGGACAATGCATGGATAATGAACCAACTGGACCAGCTAGGTACCTTCAAATAGAATCGACAACAGCTACACTGATGTTATACTCATCAAATACTAGATCATTCAACATGATAATATCTCTCAGTAGGTAATGGTGGTATTATATGTGATACTGCCGTTATTGATAATAATGCCCTGTACAGCATGTATTTAGGCTATTAGCTACTTTGAGAACAATTCCAAGTGAGATTAATAATTGGTAGTAATAAAAGCAAAAAAACCAGGATGAGGTCCATCATTATGGGTATGTACAGTTGTACACCATGTGTGAATTATAATAATTATGACTTAAAACTTAAATACAAGTGTTCCTTTATTGACTAAACTAGGATCAGACCCTCCTAGTACATTACCAGCTCTCACTGTGATGGTATAGTTCATACCACTGTACAGACCTATTAATGTATAACTGTATGTTGTAGTGGACTGATGAGGAGCAACAGAGACTGTCTTATTCACTGATTAATGTCAGACTTATCAGTATAGAGCTGAAATAATTTGATACAACGCTCAGTAAAGAATAGTGTATCATGATAACACAATATAAATTATTAAAGTACACTAATATTATCCCCACATTATTAATAAGTATTAAGGAATAAAAATAAGGACAGATAAGGCTATTATTCTATAAAGGTGTGACCTTAGTGATGATGAGACATTTAAAGACTGTGAAGGAACATGAACTCATGAAGTGATAGGAAACTACATTAATGTGATTTCTAGGGCAAATTTAGTCATTATTATACTTATTCTTTATACATGTATGTGTACAATTTGATTAATAAATGATGTGCAAAAACTTAGCTTAAAAATAACGAAAAAGTAGTGTACTATAATAATGCTAATAATAAATCTAGATGTAAATTAACCAGATGGTGCCCCAACCATAAATGACATGAATGATTGAATGAACTGCAGTAGTGTGAACCTAATCA